TAGAGAAAGAGAAAGTAATAGGGGGGTGGGGGTGGGGTGTTGTACCAGCTTTCTAATGCATTGGTTCAGCACACACACCCCCACCCAAAGCCATCGTTCGATTTTTTTTTTCCCTTCAAGGCACCCTAATGAGAGCCCTGATGGTGTAGTGGTTACACATTGGCTGTGAGGCACAAAGTCAGCAGTCCAAAAACACCAGAAGCTCTTTGGAAAGACAGGGCTTTCTATTCCTGTAAACACTTACAGGCTCGGAAACTCGCTGGTCAGATATACCTTGTCCTAGAGCAGTGGGTTCCCAACCTTCCTAATGCTGCGACGCGACCCTTTAACACAGTTCATGTGGTGGTGACCTCCAACCATAAAATTGTTTTTGTTGCTACTTCATAGCTGTAATTTTGCTACTGTTATGAATCATGTGAATATCTGATATGCAGGATTTATTTTCATTGTTCCAAATGGGACATAATTAGAGCATAGTGATTAACCACAAAAACAAATATGTACTTGCTTATTGTGAAATATTTACTTCTAATGAAAAATAAATGAAATTTTGTCTTGAAGCATGGTGTAGCACAGGTAACAGTCTACACCTGGTACTCATCTGTGGGCGTATCTGCATGTGGGTGGACCCGCATGGAGACTGATGGAGGAGTAGTGTCTCAGTACCTAAGACCATCAGAAATATGTCTTAGATGACCCCTGTGAAAGGGTTGTTCGACCCCCAAAGAGGTCACGACACATTGGTTGCGAACCACTGTCCTAGGGGCTTTTCATATTCTCTGTGAGCACACATAGGAGTTGAAGCAGAAAGCAGCTGACCTGTAATAGTTATAGTCTGCCTTAGCCCTTCTGGTACATTTGTTTCACCAGAATAAAGAAGACCTTGAGAAGGATGAAAAGAGGGAGGAGGAGAGGCAGAAGTCAAAACGTGGACGACCTCCTTTAAAATCTACCCTTTCGCCAAACATGCCATATGGTTTGTCCAAGACACCAAACAGTGACGGAAAATCAGGTACTAGATTTCTCTCTGTAACAGGCCAGACAGCTTACCGCTATCAAATAAAATGGAAGGTGCTCAATTTTGAGGACCATTGCATTTTCAAAAATCATTGGTATACATAATAAAATTTTAGTTATGTGAGAGAATCATAGTCTATCTTTTGGGTTTTTAATTCTTATATGATGTAAAATTCAGAGTTTTATTGGAAAAGGATGCTTATTGTGTAATCAACATTTTAATGTAAACTTCAGTGATACCAAATTTAGTCATCCGACAAGCATTCATCCTAGTGTACACTCCACTACCTTTCAAAGTCTCTTGTAAACTCAGTGCTGTTTGCCCAGAGCCTTGCATGAGAGCTGAGACATGCTATTCAGAGAAAGCACAGGCTAATGTGATCTTTGCATGCTTATGATGAACACAGCTGAACCCATTTTCATCTGCTTTGACTTTATTTTTTTTCTGCCTTTCTACATTATTCCATGTAGTTTAATAAATGTGAACATTTCCTCCTAACTATTCTGAGCTATAGGGTTGTCAGATGATCTTTCCCTCCAAAACCATTTTATTGGGAGTTCTTCCAGATAACATGTCATTCCATAGTTCAATCACATCAAGCAGTGTTGTAAAATTGCTACTACAGTTTCAAAACATGTTCTTCAGTTTTGAACTCCTTGATATCAGCTCCTTTTTAACACCCCTCCCCTCTACTAAACTCTCCAAGAACCCTTATTATAATATTTTAAAATATTTATTTTAATTTATTATTAATTGGGAGTTAATACATATATTATGCCATAGTTCAGTCACGTCAAGCAGAATTGTGCAAGTGCTACTACTACCATCTCCAAACATTCTTTTCCTTCCTGGACTCCTTGGCATTATCTCCCTTTTACACCCCCACTCGCCCCCCCAAACCCCTAGTCTACCTGCTGAACCTATAGGTTCTTCAATCCTGGGTTCCATGTATTGAAAGACATATAACAATGTCAAAGAGAGTGACCCCCAATGACATAACACCTCTGAGATAAACCCTAATATCAACAACAACAACAAAAAAAAAAACCCAGCAAATGCTGAAAACCAGATCCGGTCCAGCGTACATCAGAGTGGGGATCAACTGACAAAGTTTTAACTGTTAAGTCGGGTTTATCCCTTTTATCTTCTATGCTCATCTCTCCAATGCACTGTTTAGTAATCGCTTTCCTCCTATCCCTCTTATAGATGGTGATTACTGGGGACTTATTTCCTATGTTGTTCCCAAAAATATATCTTGGCCTCCCACTGTCGTCCATAACTGTCTGCAAACCGGATTCTCACAATTTAGGCTCTGATACTAATCCCTCTTATTTTGGGTTAAATGATTTACAGTCCTTTGGTGACTGATGCTGGTGTGCTTCTTCCATATGGACTTAGTTGACATCTCATTTAGATGGCTGCTTATTTGGAGATAAACCTTTAAGACCCCAGATGCTACTTTATCTGGTAGCCAGGCACCATCTAATTTCTTAGCCACATTTTGCTGTAGCACCCATACCTTCTGTGTTCCCTTTCTGAGGGTCGGTATCAAGGAGGACCATGATGTAAGAACTAATTGTTCTTCGGTTGGAGTTAGGATGCAGTTCAAGCCCCACCCCAATTCCCAGATCTGTGGTTTCTATGTTTGTATGTTAGCTTTTACTCCCTTTGGCTCCCTTTCACAACCTTCCAGTTACTTTATGGTGGAGAGTCTTAGTCTTATCGATCTTCCCCCGGGGCATAACAACCTTCCATTAATATTGTCTTTGATTAGGCTCTGGTACTAATTTTTTTTTTTTTTAACATTTTATTAGGGGCTCATACAACTGTTATCCCAATCCATACACACATCAATTGTGTAAAGCACATTTGTACATCGTTTCTCAAAACATTTTCTCTCCATTTAAACCCCCGACATTAGGTCCTCATGGTACTAATTTTTTAAAGCCCTGTTGAGAGATGGATATTGGGCCAATATAGGCTAATTCCAAATCACAGCACCGCAATTATGTATTTATTTATTTTAGTACCTGAATTAGTTCATTTTTACAGAATCAGTCTTTTCATGCCTGGATGCTATTTACACAAACAATGGGAGTTAATTGTCAGGGAAATTTACAATAATCACTGAGAACATCCATCAAAGGTTTGCCAGAATAATATATTATCTTAATACAGCATATTTGACATTGATGTAGTAAGGCTATGGTTTTTTGCCTACCAACAGTTCAACAATCTTGGTACAGCTGTCTTTCACTTCTTAGACACCATGAATTTTCTGACATAATTCTTCAGGTTACAAGTGTGTCTGAGGTAGAGTCCAGATCACCTGTGGAGTTTCTCCATTGGATCTCACTGATGTAGCCGCTGGAACATGCTGTGTGCTTGAAGATCCAGGATTCAGTGGCCCGTCACGGTACCCGACCTGGGTCCCCAGGATGCACCCAGAAACTGAATGTTGCCCATTCAGTGCATACCACGAGGGACACTCTCCCAGTAGCGGCCCCAAAAGTGTTTTCAGTCATTAGTCCCCACAACTGGAAGTCCTGCTTTTCCTACCAGCAGTCATGCATTTGTGTTCCTCCAGCCGTGTTTGCGCCCTTTCCCTCTCCTGACTTATTTTTCCCATTGGAATTCCTCATCCCTCTGTGTCACATGATTCTTGTGTGCAGATTCCAAAAGGCCATCATCCTTCCTCCTTCCTCCTGCCATCTGCTGGACAGCTGTTACAATATGCAAATGCAAGGTGTCCACACAGTGAAAAGGCACCTTTAGAGAAGGATGCCCATGTGTAGTATTGTTATTGTTATGGACCCTGAAGTCAGTTCAAATCTATAGTGACCCTATTATGATCAAGACTTTTGTGGAGACTTTTGTAGGTGGTGTAATACACAATTTTTAATTTTTAGAAAAATCTCTCCCCCCCAAGTGTGAATCACCTATGAAAGGATCCATTGGTGTCTTGACCATGGTAATAAATACACTCTCCTTTCATTTGAAAAAACAAAAAACACATAGATATTTTTGGACTTATTTAGGATAGTAGCATCCTGTGGCAGAGTTTGTTTTGGTTTTATTTTACAGCTTCCATATAATCTTAAAACTCTATATGCTTATTTTTAAAACTCCCTTTCTTAAAGGGAATCATTTATTTTTTGAGACAGCTTGTCTATGCTTCCTTATATCTTAATCAGGAAAATATTAAAGTATTTAGAATTTCAATTGCTCATTTTTTTCCTCCCTTTAGTTCCCCTCAATTGCTCATTTTGAATGTTTCTTTCAGAGTCATTTTATGTGGAATTGTTCCTCTCAGGACACAGAATATTCATCACATGTATTAATGAGTACCTACAAGCTCTCAATATTAAAAGTTAGCATATTAACTTCATATTTCAGTAGTAGTCTTGCTTTTCCTAAAGAATAGTATTGGCTTAATAGGATGCTATTGAAAATTTGCATAATAGGTCTTTGTACAAAACTGAAATGGTAAGATAATTGTACTTTTACATTAAGTTTAATTTGAAATTCTTCTCTCTCAATTTTTGGCAAAAGTGTATGACTAACTTTATGTAACACATTTCTGCAGGGAGGCATTTAAAGGCAATTGATTAAGACTTATTTTGTTTTTGAGTAGGATTTTGTGTAATTACATTGCCACTAAAATAGAAATCTTTGTAATATAGTGTGTTCTCTTGCAGATTCTTGTTCCTCTGATAGTGAAACAGAAGACCCTTTGGAAAAGAATTTGATGAATGAAGAACTTTCTCCTGATATTAAAGAAGAAGTAGAAAAAATTGAAAACTTAAATGATGATAAATTAAATGAAGAAAATCCAAAGATTGCACATATATTAAAAGAAAACGATAGGACTCACATGCAACCTTTAGAAACCCTGAAGTTAGAAGTTGGAGAAAATGAACAATTAGTTCAGATTTTTGGAAACAAAGAGGATCAAGTAGTAGAAGTTAAGAAGGAAGTAGAAAAATCTCCAAAAGGAAAGGGAAGAAGGAACAAGGCAAAAGACCTTTCTTTGGAAATTATAAAGATTTCATCGTTCAGTCAGGATGAAGCAGCATGTGAACCTCAAATAGAGACGACTCAGAATCTAGAATTTTCTTCATTGGACAGCAGAGACTTTTCTTCCACTGAAGATGAGATGGACCAATGTGTGAAAGAAAAAAAGTTAAAGCGGAAAATACTAGGACAGTCATCACCAGATAAAAAATTAAGAATTGAGAATGGGATGGAGATGACAAATAACTTATCACAAGAAAGGACCGGTGATTGTGTGGGCTCTGAGGGCGTGAAAAGCTTAAATTGTGAACAGCACTTTGAAACAGAAAATGAGGGGATGCCATCGTTAATAGCAGAATCAGACCAATGCATTCAAGAACTGACTAGTGAAACACCTGATGGCCCAGCTGAAGAAACTGCAAATACTCCCCTCAAAGGAGAGGAGGGCACCATGCCTCTGATCGGGCCTGAAACCTTGGTTTGCCATGAAGTCGATTTGGACGATTTGGACGAGAAGGATAAGAGCAGTATTGAGGATGTGGTGGTAGAAAGCTCTGAATCAAATTCTTTGGTTTCTGTTCCGCCTTCCCTGCCTCCTGCAGCTTCGCCACTTACGCCCAGTCAAGACGAGTCTCGGAGTGTGAAGAGCGAAAGTGACGCAGCGGTCGAGGTTGAGAGTATTGCCGAAGAATGTCAAGAAGGTCTCTGTGAGAGGGGATCAGCAAATGGATTTGAAGCCAGCATAGCTGCTGGTACTTGTAGTATAATTATACAGGAAAGAGAGAACAGAGAAAAGGGTAAGGGCTTTCTATATTAAACCAAAAATATGTTATTCGAAGGATTGTTGAATTGTAAAGTACTTTTCTTACGGTTTGCTCACTCTCCTTTCCGTTTCCTTTTTTAATGAACACAGAAGGTAAATGTAGAATGGATAGGTAAATAAATGCCTGCCGCAGGTTTGTAATGGGGATTTTTCCTTGTCTTTTTTTTTTAATTTTAATTTTCTCTTATTTCAGCTCAAAAAAGGCCAAGCGATGGAAATAGTGGATTATTGACAAAAAAGCAAAAGCGTACCCCAAAGCGAACAAGTGTAGCCAAAAGCGAAAAGAACGGAGCAGGTTGGTACTTTAGTACACGTTCGTATTTTCAGCAGCTTGTGTCAGATTAAACATCGATCTGGCTCCTTATTACCTGAAAATAGCCATTAACTTTTAATGTGAAGGTACTTACCACGTTTCATTTGAGCCAGGATAACTGCTGTTATTTTTCTTTAGCTTATTTCACTTGTGTTTCTTATGTAAGGCAGTTTAATATTAGAGGAGTCTACTTAGAAAACGAATGTTTGCTATGGTTTTAAAAGCCTATGAAGTTCTCATTTCTACCAGGAGTATTTTTCCCCATAAATTTATGAACTCACATGAAATACAGAAGTAGAAAAAGGTTGGAAGAGCAGTTTGAGGAAGGGCGAATTATATACAGTCAAGAAGGCTGGAGTAGAAATTGACAAAGCATAACCGAAAGTCAGAAATACTCTTAGGTCTAAATACCGAAGTTTTCAGACGCTGTTGGCTATTCAAGTAGCAGTCGTTACTTTGGATAATAGTGAGCTTTGAGGACCCTCCCAAGAGCACAAAGGTGTGATCAGGTGCGAAAGTGGAAAAGCAGGATTTCTTGCAAGGAATTTGACATAACAAAGACAAGGGTGCCAGCTAGGAAAAGAGAGAGTGAGAGATGCAACAGCTTTGAGGACTGGCATGACATGATCCAGAGGAGCTGGAGTGAATGGTTTCAAGAATGTAGGTGAAGACAAATTTTTCCAGAAAGTCTCCTCTTGGAAAAAGGCAACAGGGACATGTACTATAGGAGAGGGTCGGGGACAGTACGTAGCCCTCATTTGCCCTTTCCAGTAGTAGCAAGATTGGCTTTTGAGGTGAGCCAGGTCTAGGTAGGATGTGTAGTTTGAAAAATAAAACTTAAAAAGAAAAATGTTTTTCAAACCTATTATAAACAATTGCAATATGATAGAAAAAAGGTTGAAGTGTCAAAGATTTTCTTTTCGTTGGAGCCACATTCCGTGCTTATGGATGAGATGTCAGGAAACCAGAGGACACGCATTACAGTAGAGACATCTGCTGCGGATGATGTCTTTAGGGGTCACAAAAGCCAAGATGTCACTTTGAGGACTCAGATGTGTCTGACTCAAGCCATGGTATTTTCAGTCACTGAATCTTCATGTTAAAGATGGACATTGAATAAAGAAGACCAAACCATAAGAACAAACAAACCCGTTTTGGAAAAAGTACAACTGGAGTGTTCCTTAGAAGTGGGGATAGTAAGACTGTCTCAAGAAGTTGGCTGTGTCCTCAGAGAGGACCAGTCCCTGAGGAAGAATAGCATGGTTGGTAGAGTGTCGGCAAAGAAGAGGAAGATTCTCAGTGAGATGGATGGGCAGTGGCTGCAACAAGAGGCTTAAACAGGGACTAATGTGTGGATGGCACAGGTCCAGGCAGTGTTTTGTTCTGATGTCTGTTGGATTGCTATGAATTGGAACCAACTCAGCAGCACCTAACAATAAACTGATTTGTGTACGGTGTCATATCTGGATCGGGTTTCCCCTCTTCCCCCAAATAACAAGCTTTATTGTTTGTGTCTTTTAATGTGGAAAGTAACAGAACATTTGCCATTTCAATTTTGTTTACATGTATCATCCAGGGACATTAATTATGTCTGTCATGGTATGCATTCATTAATACTATTCTGCATTTTGCTATATGAAAGTCTTATCATAACTTTTAAATCACTTTTTAAATTACAGGACAGAGCAGTGATAGTGAAGATCTTCCTGCCATAGACAATTCAAGTAAATGTACTCCAGTAAAGCATCTTAGTGTATCCAAGCCACAGAAGATTGCTCGGTCTCCGGCAAGAATATCACCTCACGTTAAAGATGGAGAAAAAGATAAACACAGAGAAAAACATGCAAATTCATCTCCTAGGACGTATAAGTGGAGCTTTCAACTCAGTAAGAAAGTTGTAGAAGATCTAAGTATATCTTTTGAAGTAGAATTTATTTTAGAATATCTTCTTGGGTTAATGTTACTAAATAAGAAGTAATGATTAACCAGTTGCCTGGGTGGCCGTGGAGGGTTACATACATAGCTACTAAGCTCAGTTCAAGTCCCCCAGAGATGCCTTGCGTGGCCACATGTTCACCTGCAGAAAAGTTGCAGTCATGGCTTTCACATGTGTCAGAATTGACAAAGTAGCAACTGGGTGTGATTTTTTTTTTTTTAATAGCAAATTCATTAATTCAAGTCTTCCACACACCATGTTTATAATGACTACTTAATATCTTAAATACAAATCTGTCTTTTGGTAGCACTACCTTGATTAATATTGATTGATAGAGCTCCAGTTAAGAAATAATAAATAGGTAGAGGAAAAAATTAGATTGCTCTTACAGTAAAATTATGATCAGTGGGAGAATGATTACTTACCATCAGTATCAGCTAAACAATAGCAAAAACATTCACTAAATTCACTATTGTGTCTGTTAGTCCTAGTAGAATGATTTTGAGCATCTGTTTTCTGTATGAAGAAAATTAGAAATACTATTTCACAGTCTTTGGAGAAAATTGAAAGAAATAGCACCTACTCTAAAAAGCTCCATTTTTATAAAATGTCCAGGAAAGTACAGCTAAAATCAAGTAATATTCTTCAATTAGCTATGGACAAAATAAAATAATTCTATATAACTATTGTGATATAATAAAACTGTCTTATAAAGCAAAAAAATAAATAAGTATGATTTTTACAAACCATTTAAAGTACCCTTCCTACAATTAACAATTAGAAATAACTAATTTGGAAACAAAAATTTTTTTTAAAGAACTATTAAAGATTATGGTTTCTGGCTTTTTTTTTCCCCTTAAATAAATCACTTTATATATATTCAGTTTGGGATATATATCAAAAGACGTGTTAGTCTAGGTGGGCTAGAGAACAAATCCATTGAAACTCATAAGTGTATGAGAGCTTCATAAACAAGAGCAATTGAACGCTGAGAAAACATCCCAGCCCAGTACAGATTAAGTCCATAAGACTGATGTTAGCCCATATGTCGGATACCAGTCCATAAAGTCCTCTTCAGACTCACGAAACACATGCAATGATGCCAAATGCAGGAAGATCACAGGCCATGGGAAGTCTTGTGAATCCAGTGGCATTGTAAGCATCTCAGTGCTTACTGGTGGGGTGGGGCTGGGAGGGGTGGGGGGGTGTCTCCACATGGCTTCTTCAGCTCCAGGGCTCCTGTGTCCTGCCTCCAGCGAGCTTCATCTCCTTAGCACCTCCAACTGAGGTCATTGAGCTGTGACCTGATTGACAGGCTAAATTCCACCCTTCACTGTTAAGACTCAAATTGACAAGATTATGTAACTACCACAAAAGAATTCCTCTTATTCTTAAATGCATGACTTCACTGTTTACAGACTGACATGTAGCTAACTATTGCAAGTTTTAATAAACTGAGATGTCTGTTGATTTATAAATTGAACTTTTGAAATAACTGCCATCTTTTCTCATAGAAAAAACTTAAAATCTCTATTAACTCTTTTTCCTTCCCTTTAGATGAATTAGACAATATGAATAGTACAGAGAGAATCTCTTTCCTTCAAGAAAAGTTACAGGAAATCAGAAAATATTACATGTCTTTGAAGTCTGAAGTTGCAACTATAGATAGGAGGAGAAAGAGATTAAAAAAGAAAGACAGAGAAGGTAACTATGCCCATCTTTCTTTCCCCCTCTTTTACATTTGCTGTCCTGTTAGATAAGAGCTCTGGGTTATGAGTCGGGCTGCCCAGCCCAAGGGCTGTTAGTCTTTCCCCTAGAGAAAGAGGAAATCACTTTAGTTAATGTGGGATTTGTTGCTCTCTGAATATATTTCACCTTCATTAAATTTTTCAGATTTCCAATGTTTTAGATTCTCTATTGCTATTGTTAAAATGAGTGGATCAACAAATAAGACATAAAGGAACTATAAGCTTTTTTTTTAATATGTGATTTTACTCTCCCACAAATTATTCTTGTCCAGCAAACACGTATTGGTTGCCTATTAACGTTCTCTTTTGCTTATTATTTTGGAGATTATCTTGTTGGGATCATCTGTCATTTCAGAAGTAACTGTTGTTAAAAAAAAAAAAGAACTGTTGTATAAAATAGTTAATCTCCACAGCATTAATGTGTACATACTATAGATGAGGAAGACACAGGCTTGGCTCTTAGAGAAGTTCTTATGGCATCATTTGGCACCAAGAGTGTATTAACAAGCATAGAAGTTTAGTGGAAGGAGAAATTATCTTGGGATAATCACGGAGCAGGCCCTTAAAATGTGTAGGATGAAATAATAGTTCAACGTGTGCATGTTTGTGTCTACTTCAACCTAACACTTTACTAAAACAAGAGTGAGGAAATGAAAAGGTCTGTGTCCCCAGAGAAAGGGACAGCCGAAAGAAATGTTTCTTTAGGAAACTGGAACTGCCCCAGCCGATGAAAGAAAAATAAAGCTTGCAGTGGGCTAAAACTATATAACCCCAGAATCACTTTACAGTGAAGGCATTGTGTGGCTTTTGAAGGCAGGGATAGGGTGAGACTGGGAAAGAGGCTTGTTGAAAGTGGAGGAGCAGTTGGGAGCCATTCCTCCCTCCCTGTGAAGCTAGGCCACCTCTTTTCTGAGCTCTAGCTGAAGCTGGTTGGCTAAATTACTGGAAGGTGTTGGGGAACTTATTGGCTATCGCCTCAGGGAAGGAAACCAGCTATAGCAGCTAAAGGTGAGGGTTAAAAATAATGAGATTGCGTAAAAGTTAACATATTCATTGGTGAGACTCTTTTTCCTTTTCCAATCCAAGATTTTATCCTCCTATTTTCTGAAGCACAATAGCCAAGCTTATTCTCATTCCTGGGAGGAGCCTGGATTCCTCTCAGGAAACCCTGACCAACCCAAGAGAGATGGCCTACACACATGTGCCAATATTTGGTGGGTCCTGAACTAAAGAGCAAGATCCTTGCCCCATTCGCAACATGTACATTGACTCTCACTCCAGGCTCTGCCTCTACGCACTCACAGCTTCCAGTTACTCAGTGTCTTTCTCTTGTGTGGAAACCACGGGGGACCGTGTCTGAGAAAAGCTTCTTCAAGAAATTCAGAAACCAAATTGGAAAGAAACTTGGAAGAAACATAATGTGCCCCAAACACTACAAAACTAATTAGTACTGTAAGATAAAGGAAAAGATACTGTAGTCTTGAATTAAGAATATTATACTATTTTAAAAGTTTAGAGAACAAAAAGCTCTCCCCACAATTAAGAGCACAATGGCAAGAATTTTAAAAATTCAAAAGATAAATAAGAGAGATTAATAGAAGAGCCAGTGAAGCTGAAGGAATCTAAGTAGAAAGTAAGATTATAGGATTTGCACATGGTCCTGCTAGGTGGCCCAAGAGATGCATCAGGGTTTACAGGGGGAGTAAACAGAATTTGTCAATTGACAAAACATAACACGAAAATGCCTGGAATGGGAAGACTGAATGAATTCACTGTATCCTTTTTATTGGTTGAGGGAAGGGAAAAAAAATCACATGACGGTACATTATAAAAGTTCAGAACCTTAAGTATAAAGAGAAAATTTTAAAAGCTTACCAGGTAAAGGCACACGCATTAAAAAAAAAAAAAAAAGAAGAGTATCAAGTTTTTCAAAAAGTTTCTCCATGGTAGCACGAGAAACTAGAAGGTAAGCTAAGAAGACAACATGGAGTCCAGGAAACGAATCCCACCTAGAAAGCCAGGAAAGCAGAGTTTCACAGCGGGAAACATGAATGGGGAGCGGGAGCATGAATGGATCCCCTAGACCACACCAAGTTCAGGGACTGGCTAGACTGGGAGAGGCATGGTCCTTCAACTCAGAAAAACTGAACCAGAAGTTTGACCGTACTGAGAGTTTTCCAGCTTCTGGACAGAGATTTGGGAAATGGATTACTGATAGAATGGCCTGGGTCATTCTATGCCAACTCTATCAGGTGCCTGTTCCTGGAAATAGGAAATAAGGTGCAGGCACTATCTTAAGAGGGATTTAATTCAGGTGAATAATGTGTTAAGAATTTTGTCTTTAATATCTTTTGGCTGGATATCTTTGTGCAATAGCACTTCAGACGAATGTGTTTGTTTTAACTCCACAGTGTCTCATGCAGGCGCTTCCATGTCATCTGCTTCATCAGACACCGGAATGAGTCCCTCGTCGTCTTCCCCTCCGCAAAACGTACTTGCTGTGGAATGCAGGTGATACATGCTTTCTCTGCCTGCCTAGCAGTGTGCTGCCATGGACATAAATCCCCAAACCCTGAAATACAACCACAGAAAGCACTCAACTGGTTTGACTTTGCCAAGTATATCTTGTATACTTTCCCCGGCTGGATTGTATCTACTCCTTTCTCTTTTCTTTCTTCCTCTTGCAAAATATAAGCCGATTAATAATTGAAGGTTAGGGAGCCTGCCACATTTGTCATATTTTTCCCTTTTAATTCTTTTCATTATTTGTGAATATAGAAAAAGAAGGGCAAGGGCACTTAGCAAATTTAAATTTGTGTAATAAATAAAGCTTTCAGGTGTTATAGAATTCATAGACAAGCAAGTGCACATGATTAACATCAAAATATTATCCAGCTGAATAGTTACTGCTGCACTTTCACTAAGATGTATTTTGAACACTTGGTGAGTTGGGGGTTTATGTTGTGTGTGTGTGTTTTTTAATTTTTGTTGTTTTTTATTTTTGTGGAAGCACTTGCTATTTAGAACTGCCAAAGTATATGTTCAGCAGTGTGCCCAGTTTTAAAGGTGTAAATGGGACAAAATAAATTGTGAAAGGAAGTGTAGTTGGCTGAAAACTACAGTTGTCATAAGTCTTCCACTTTTTATAGGATTTTTGAGCACACAATTATGCAAATATTTTAATGTTTATTAATGTTTACAGTGGAATTGTGAATAAGTTTTCAGTGGACTATCTTATCCCTTGACAAAAATATTTTGTCTTTTTTCTATGTAATTTCAGAGTTTTTATTTTGTTACAAAAAGACAAAAATGAAATATATAACAACAATGAAGTTATTTAACAAGATTTCTAAAGGTGAAAATTTTGTGTAAAATAAGGTATTATCTTGCAACTTGTTAAATATATTTATTCAGACATTGGATGTTGTATTTTTATGTATTTTTTAAAATATTAATAAAATTGAAAAAAAGAAAATTCTAGGTTAATTCACTCTTTGGATGACACTAGCTCTCAGCTGTCCCCTTTACAGGCAGTTGTGTGCAGCAGCCGTGCCTGTATTGAAGGGGGTCTGTCTCAGTCCTTCTAACAGAACTCGGAATGGGCATCTGGATCACTGAAGTATGTCCTCGTGTTGAAACTTTGGCAGTCCTAGTATTTCATCTGTTTTGAGGATCAAGTTTTGGGTTGCCCTTAAGATATTTCGTCAGTTTTTATGTTTGCTATACTGCCGAATAAATTCCTATCTCCCAAAGTTGAGATGCAACAACTAAGTAAAGCAACTATGTATGCTTTTGTCTGTGAATTGTTCCACAGACTGATACATTTTGTAAATAATTCTTCCAAAATCATGTATTTAAAGCAGTTTTGCATATACAGTATGTAAAAAAGATGATTTTTTAAAAAAATCAATTTTTAAATTCATTTGTACATTGAAAGGGGCTTTTTAAAGCTCCTTTTCTGTGTTTAATATGCTGTAGAGTAATAACCTAGATGCTCTAGACTGTATGTCATATCTGATTTACAAGAACAAAGTCAGAGCTAAACACTAGTGATGACATAGCATTACTGAAATCATTGTTTCCTAGTTTCCTTTTACCACATTGTGAACTTGTGATTCAGATTCCTTCCATTTTTGCAGAGAATTAAAAGCAAAAAAAGTACTCTTGTAAAATGCACTTTTTTGTCTTTTCTTTGCAAAGCAGTATTTCAATGTGATATATAAAGATGAAGCTCAGCGGGCAGTATTAATAAAGGCCATGTTTTAAACATAGGCTTTTTACTTTTAGTTTTCATTTAAATGATTGCTTTTGTCCTAAGTGCCAATAACACTTTACAGTTGGAACCCAGACTTCATAAAGTACAGCATTTCAGTATATTCTTCAGGTTTATCTAAATAAATATTTATGCCTCTCATTATAAAAATGAAAAAGATGTGCCATTAAAATCCAGTTCAAACAGGAGACCACCTGAGACTCGTACATTAGATACTTTAAGGATGTCTTTCAGTACCTTTGAGATAACTAGTTGGCTTGAGTATTACCCTTCTAATTGTTATAGCTCTGGTAATGAAGTATTAGGTCCTTGATACAGAACAGAATTGTGTACTCATTGGTTATAAAGATGGACATTTAAAATCCTCTTTATTTGGGAGCTGCAAATGATTTTGAAAGTAAGTGAATATTGAACAGGTATTACAATTTGAAATTTGTGCATGTAAATGGACAGTTTCTCAAAACATCTGAGTTTAAGTAAACTTTTACTTGCCTCCTAGTGTAAAAGTCAAAGATTATCTTTACTGTCCACTGACAATGGTGGGCGTGGGGGGACCCAGGTGACACAGTAGGTGACCAGTTGGACTGCTTATCACAAAAGCAGTCATTGACACTCACCAGCCGCTCTGTGAAAGAAAGAGCATTTTTCTCCTATGAAGATTTATAACCTTAGAGGTCGAAAGGGGCAATTCTACTTTGTCCTATAGAATCACTTAAGAGTCAAAATCCACCAGGGCAGTGAGGTTTTTGTTTTGTTTTTTGATCTAAAAATACTTGGTGTGCTATACATAAAGTCAGGTTATTTACATATTTATGGAACTGTTTTAGTTACTTTACATTAAATGTGTGCTTACATTAAATCTTTGAATTTTTACGAAGAAAGAATGTTTCTATTTAGCATTCTTTGGAAGACTGCTACATTTCTTCTAGGAAATTGCTATCAGTTATGGAAATCTACACAAATTAAGCTGTTTGCTTAAGTATCTTCCTTAACATGGCTATCACCCTTGTGAGGAGGAACCCTGGTGGCACCGTGGGTTACGTGTTAAGCTTCTAACTGCAGGGTCACAGTTCGAAACCACCAGCTTCTCTGAGAGAGAAAGATGAGGCTTTCTCCTCCTCTAAAGAGTTACAGTCTCAGAAACCCACAGTGGCAGTTCCAGTGTCACCATGAATTGGAACTAACTCAAGGGCAGTGAATTTGATTTTGGTTTTTCAACATTGAGAAAGCATTTGAAGGCATATAGAACCACACATCCCACTTAGTGCTAGAATTTCCATTGTAATTTTTAGTAACTGTGGACTGGGCCATTTTGCTAAGGCCCAGGAACCGTAACAGTGAACAAGATTCTAGTCACTGTCTCCAGGAATGCATCCTCTAGTGGGGTGGATGTTAAACAATGAACACGTAACCTTAATCTGCAGGTGGGATTGACATGTGAAATTACAGCATGCCAAAGCCAACTAATTTGAGGGCAAAAGTGAAGGAATGCTTTGCAGAAAAAGAAAACATTTGAGTCCTAATGAGGCTTATGAATTGCTTAGGCATACTAGAGCTGAGAAGGGTGAAGGGTTCTAAGCAGGAGCATGGGGAGAGATTGGGGGTAATGAGCCAGAGGTTGGAGCCATTGTCCCACAGGGCCATTCAGGCACTGCCCTCTTTTGTCTCTTGCTCCTTTCATTTCTTTCTGCTTCCATCCCTAGTTACCCAGTGCTAGCTCAGTAGCCATTTTTCCCACAAAGCTTTTGATGACTTATTAACACCATCAATTTCATCAAATTTTCCCCCAGAGCAAATTTCCTTAATCTATTATTTTACTTCACAATTTATATTTACTTTGCATGTCTTTATACAATATTACATGATTCACTCCTTAAGTAGGTGGCCAAATGATGGTTATTTTAATTGAGAATAATTAATAATTCTGAATTCCTATTTTTTTCTGAATGGTCTTTATGTACAAAGCCAAACATCCAAAAGAGGTGTTCAAGGTTTTTCTCACAAATATGTTAAAATAGAATTTGTAGAGTATAAAATAGACCTAACTTAAAATAGACCACAGAGCCCAAACGTCTAAGTACCCAGTGTTATTAAAATAAGTATTTTTCCATCTCTCCTATTACTTGCCTGTGGTTACAAACATTTTTATCCCATTGCAAGAAAAGCATAATATGTGATGGCATTCCTCATTTAGTGAAGCTTGGTGAGATTCATAGGATGGAATTTATACTCGAGGTATTTCTTTTCTTTTTTTTAACGAGGAATTTCTAAGGGGTACATGCTTTGTTTTCTCAGAGTAGGAATAGTTATTTTTTAATACTTTAAATTTATTGTGAAATCAAACTTTTTCACTGTAAGAAGCCTAACAACATCTTTTTTCCTTGTTCACACAGGCCCATTATCCAATTTCTACAACAAATAACAATGTTTATGAATTTGATATCTTTGATTAATGTAATCATGAAGTTTATATTCATTTTGCAATCTATCACGTAGAACTCACTTTGAAAAGTTCTATTGGGAAAAGTTCAAAGAACCTCTATGAAACAGGGTTTTCTCATCGTCGTGTCTGACTGACGGCCCGATGTAAAAGTGGATGACACAGTTCTGGGTCCTGAGCCGTCTGCATGTGATCGAGTTAGTATCTACATTGGCCTGGCTGAGTTCATTGTTGCAGCCCTGGGTCAGACTACCTCACCGAGGGTTGCCCTTGTTTTTGTTGGCCATCTACTTTACACAACACGTTGTCCTCTTCTAGCAAGTAGTTTTCCCTGATGATGTGTCCAAGTGAGAGAGAGGTGAAAGCTTGCCATCCTTGCTCAAACCAAAAATCAAACTCACTGCCTTCCAATCAATTCTGATTCTTAATGACCCATGGACGAACTTAGAACTAGGTTAAAATTAAAAAGTTAATCACTATGAATCTAAATAAATTATGATATGCTAACAATAAAATACTATGCCCCTGAAAAAAAGAAAAAGCAAGCTATGGTATTTATTGCCGAATCCATTGAGAACACGGATTGCCTCTAGAAGGGGGTGGGGGAGACTAGCTGAAGAAGAGAGTTGGGAGAAGGCTTTTTTGTCTTCAGTTTTGAATCTTGGGCTGCCAACCCGTTAACAAAATGTAGATTTAAAATTATAAAAATATCTCTGAAACTAATAATTCAAACTTTTAGAGTTTTAAGTTTTCTTACTCAATTTAAAATTGAGTTTTAGAGTTTCAGCTTTTGATTTTGTAGATAGGATGATGAGACTTAGAAAGGTCAATTCCCTGTGTTCAGATAGATAGCTAAATTGTAAATGGCTATGCTTATAAATCCTATAAAGAGGATCTTAGTCCGCTATCATTTTTCTCTGACCTTACCAAGGAACTGCCAAACCATGCAAACAGCATAACTGCTTTGGAAAAGGGTGTAGTAATTCCTTTAAAAATTAAACATACACACATCACATAACTTATTACCCTTAAGAGAAATGAAGACATCAACCCACCCATAACTTTATTTTTAATAGCCAGAGAAAAGGTCAGCAGGTGAATGCACAAATAATTGTTTGTGTATCCATACAATGGAACACAACTCAGCAAGAAGGAATAAACTGTTGAATGCAGGAAGATAGATGAATCTCAATGCTAAGTGTAAGAAGCCAGACAGTATGCATTAGATGGCGCCACTTATATATAATTCCACAAGTGTAGACTTCTCATAGCAAATCAGTGGTTACCTGGACACTTGGGAGTTTGGTTAGAGGTGAGGCAGTGGAGAGCGAAATTTTTGGAAGTGGTGAATGTGTTCTTATTTTGATTGTGATGATTTCATGGGTTTGTACAGCTTATTAAACATTTAACAATAAAGCCTAAAGTCAAAAAAAAAGTATAAGCATACAAACCCAATATCCTGTGGTTAGTTAATATAAAGACTTTGTTGTTGGGTGACGTCCAGTCAGCTCTGACTCACAGTGACCCGCTGTACAAAGGAGCACAATATTGCCGGGTCCTGTGCCAGCTTCACAGTTGTGCTGTTTTGTGGTTTGAGCCATTGTGTTGTTGCGGCCACTATGTCAATCCTCATTGAGAGGCTTCTGTTCCGACCAATCTGCTTTACCAGGCTTGATGTCCCTCTCCAGGGCCTGGCTCCTGAGAACATGTCCAAAGTACGTGAGTCCGAGTGTCGTCATCCTTGCTTTTGGGGAGCCATCTGACGGTACTTCTTCCCAAATAGATTTGTTCAGGTTGTCCATGGTATATTCAGTATTCTTCGCTAGCACTGTAATTCAAATGCATTAATTCTTCTTTGGCCTTCTTTATTCACTGTCCAGCAAATATAAAGTACAGGGCATGGGTCAGGCACACCTTAGGCCTCAAGGTGACATCTTTACTTTTCAACACTTGAGAGCTTTCTGCAGCTCAATGCAGTATGTCATTTGATTTTTTTAAATCATTTGATTGAGAGCTCGTACAATGCTTATTGCAATCCATACATATATGCATTGTGTCAAACACATCTGTACATCTGTTGCTATCATCATTCTCAATGTCACTTGATTTCTTGACTGCTGCTTCCGTAGTTGATTGTAGACCCAAGTAAAATGAAATCAGTGACTTCAATATTTCCTGATTTTATCCTGATGTTGCTTATTGGACCAGTTGTGACCATTTTTGTTTTCTTTATGTTGAGGTGTAATTCATTATTGAAAGTCTGAGTCTTTGATCTCTACTAGTAAACACCGGATCTTTGCGTTCAGCAAGCAAAAGTGTTATCTGTGTATCACAGATTGCTATTGCTTCTTGGCCTTTTGGCTAAGATCAAGTGTAGTATCACAGGTTGCTAATGAGTCTTCCTCCAATCCCCACACCATTGTTCAGCTTCTTCAGTTAACATGATAAAAAAAGACTGATTAAATGAAAGGATACAACCTTGGCACACATCTTTTCTGATTTTAAAACGTGTTATTCCTTGTTCTGTTTGGGTTACTGCCTCTTTGTCTAAGTATAGATAGAACGCAAATTTAATCAATCAGCAGTTACTTTTTTGTCAGTTCCTATTTTATACAGCAGAAAGAAATGGGAGAGATTTCTTCCCTCTACCCCACCCAGCACTCCAAATATATCAGGACCCTTTCGTACTTCTTTCATCTGACCAGAAATTGTGAGCTCTATCTTCTAAGGTAGGTGTAAGTAACCCAGTATATTATTTATCAGGGCTGAGTAGAAATACAATTCTTATTTTTCACATTTTACCTCGCCTAAATTGTGTGTTCTCTTCCTCTAGTATCTGAGAATTTCTCAAGTACTTTTTGGAACAAGTTTTACTATTAAAAATTAAGCAGTTACTTGGATTACATCATTTACTCTTTTTTTAAAGATTCTGAAAACCCTATCACCTACTTTATTTCAGGAGAAGGGTATGGAGAGAATCACTTCGATTTGAAGGGCAGCTAAACTAGAAGCAACAGTGGCATCAATTTTAGGGCTTGAAGGGTCTTCTGATCCATAAGAGAATGCTGAAACATCCTTTATTTGGAGAGTCAAAAATTCCATTTTCAAAAAAAATTTCATTTTCCCCTAGAGCAGTGGTTCCCCACCTTCCTAATGCAGCAACCTTTTAATATGTTCCTCATGTAGTGACCCCCAACCACAAAATTATTTTTGTTGCTATTTCCTAACTGTAATTTTGCTACTGTTATGAATCAGGCGACCCCTATAAAAGGGTCATTTGACCCCCAAAGGGGTTGCGACCTACAGGTTGAGAACCGCTGCCCTAGAGCAAGATCATCCCTTTTTATTGGGATCAAAGAATAGACAACAAACTCAATAGCACTAAATGGGACTTTAGAGCAGAAATTAGGGCCATGGTTCTCCTTTGAAATGCAAGTTTTTACAGGAAAATAGGTTTATGAATCAGTTAGTTTTCCTTTTGATTTATTCCCTCTCTCTCCTACCCAGAAGCCCCTGGAGTCTGAAGAGCACAGGCATAACTAACCAGATACACAGCTGCCATACTGGGATCTGATTACGAATGGACTGCAAAGCCCAGGGAAGCCCCCAGGGCTGGCAAGCACTAACTACACTCTCAGGGAGAACGAAACGGATACTGAAGGTGCCACCCACCAGTCGAAGAGGCGGACACTGCACTGGGTTGAGGCTGACTGCGATGTGCTCTGTTCACTGTGCATCTTCCAGCCACTGTGGATAGGAGAGACCTGGAACACCAGTCCCACTCGCTGGTGCCACATGCCAATCAGAAGAAAGATGAAATTGAGGGTAGTGACCTGCAGGAGGCAGCATTCTTGGTCTGGGTTGGTATGAGCATCTTTATACTGAATAGCCAGCTGCAACTCTCCCACACATTTGCTCATTAACCTCCGGGGCTGTTCTTTGAACTTGAATTCCCACATTGATTTCTATTGCCAACGACCTTTCTGTAAGAAAAGTAAGCATTTGGTATCCTTGAGTGTGTTGGGAATGCTCTCTGGAATGGCAGGGTTCTTGGGGCTTGGAGCATAGCAAATGGCGCATACGTGAGATACAGAGATTGGATCACATATGCCAGAGGCAACCCAGCTTCTCCATTGAGTCTAGTCACAAGTGCAAAGACAGAGAGGCATCCAGTGTGTAGTGTCTTCTGTGGAACCTGGTCCAAAATGCAGCAGTGCGACAGTCCAGGCATTCTTACAAATTGGGAAAATTCTCAATGTCCTCAGGAAGGATTTAGGAGGCCAGCCAGCAAAAGCCAGATTTCCATGGGATACTCTTCTCCTCCAGCCCTGTCCAGGTCTTCTTTGTGCCTCATGCTTTTCTTTTTTCCGGGAGACTGTTCTCTCATAATGCTCTCTCTTGGGCATCCATTGCATCACTGCAGCTGATGATGTCACAGGGCTCACCAGCCCCAGCAAGAGCTTCCTCTGCAGGAACCTGGGAAGGCTTCCACAGAGATTTACTTCCTGCTGAACGGCATTGGCAACAGCAGTGATTCTCAACCTTCCTAATGCTACGACCCTTTAATACAGTTCCTCATGTGAAAGGGTTCAACCCCTTAAGGGGTTGCGACCCATAGGTTGAGAACCGCTGGGCTATGGCTTTCGTGACTCATCTATACTTCACGATGGCCCGATCCAAGCTGGCATCATCTGCCCCAGTCAATCCTCCTGAAACTTGAATCACTTCCCTCTCTTGCGCTTGGCAACCATGTCAGAGTGAGGCTGGCCTTGTGGGCCTGGACTCCAGGCCATGTCTCCGAGCAGAGAGTTGCTCCACTGCCATCCTGTACCTACTCTTTCTAATCTCTTCTAAGTTGCCAGTTTAATACCTCAAGACTCCTACCTTAAATTTTGGTTTTATTGTCATTTGTTTGGGTCTTCAGCCGCCATCGCCTCCATCTTTCATTGCTTCTGAATTTCCTTTCTCTGTTCTGGTGTTGCCCTACCTCACCTCCCTTTAGCCTTCTCTTGGGCCATCCTCTCATTTGACCTGGCCATGGGATTTTGGTGAGTTATAGCTTATCATACTAAAGTATTGCCATAAAACATGAGGAAAGGGCTGGTGTTTAATGGAGAGAAGTGACATTAAAAGGACTATGCATGCAGATGAATACAAAAATATGGATAGAATGCATTGTGTATACCTTGTACTCGGGATTTTAGGAGAATGGACTCAGTGTGACAATGACAGACTTTAAAAGGAGATTTCTAGTTCTTTGAGATGATAGATAAAATTGATAAAGCTCTATGTAGACATCAAGAAAAAAACACAAGTGTCTATGAAGAATGAAAGAGGAGACATTATTAGAGATTCTACAGTTACCTAAGAACAACAAGAATATCATGGACAAAAAATAACAAAACATCGTGGACATCACTGCTGGTAACTTCAACAACTTAAAATCCTGAGAGAGACTGTAAATGAAGTTCTCCCTCTCACCATGAATGCTGGGTCAGATCTTACACATCCTCCAGATTTCCAAGTGTGCTCAAGACTTCCGAGCTAGCTTTAAGCATGGGGTCCCTAGACCCCCTCACTGACCAGCTGGTTACAAATTCAGTCTCACTAACCCCTCACCTCAGGCTTCATAATTCACTAGAATGAATGAGAACTTAGAATGATTAGTTTTAGTTTTATTTCAGCAAATTATACAAATGAGATCCAGAGGACAAAGTCTGGGAGGGTCCCAAATCTTTCACATACCAAAGGACACTACCCTCTGAGCATCAATGTCTCATCAGCCAGGAGGCACACCTAGCTTATGCCCAGTTTTTTTACAAGGGTTACATTCAAATCACCTGGAAAATGAAACAATTCCTTCCCAAAAATAAAGAAGGGATACTTTTGACTCACCGTGGACAGCATTACTCTGACACCAAAGCCTGACAAAGGCATTGCAAGAAAACTAAAAGAAAACTTAAAATTTATGTAAAAAGTCTCATCAGAATTTTAGAAAATCAAATCCAATGAAATATTAAAAGTATAATACAATGAAGACAAGTTTGTAAAAAAAAATCCATGATCTTTTAATTTTACTTTTCCACAAACTTTTTGAAGACCTGTGAAGTGAAATTACTTGGTATGGCTCTTAAATCCATAGTTTTATAACTCATCAAGCGGTTGGGTGGGAGACTGCAAATATTAGGTGTAGAGGACTTTAAGCTCAAGGATTGGTCAGTCCTGTTATTTTGCTAGATATAAAATGAGCCATTTCAGAAGCAGGGACAGAGTCCCAGAAATCATCTAGAAATAACTGCTCTGGAGCAGTGTGTGTCCAAGATCCCTGCAGAGAGAGGTGGAGGTAGCGACAGCAGACCACCGACCGGGCTTCCTGACCCACAGAAACTCCTGTCAACGTGAGAGCGTGCCTTTGGAGCCTCGATCAGTGATACAGGGGCCTTGGACCACGTGCCAGAGCAGGGAAAAGGCAGCGATGCCATGCGCTGAGAGGCTGAGGAGTAGACAAGGCATGCTTACCAGCACGGCAGAGAAGAGGGAGTACAAACGCAAGAACGATATCCTTCATTTTTGCTGATCCTAATTTCCTGGAAACCTTTAAACTCCCTAAAAAAACCCACAAATGGGGGAAGTGGAAGGCAAAACCCGCCCCCCGGGTCATTTCCTCAAGCCCCCTTGCATAACACGGGCTAAGTGGGGTTTATCTCAGGTCTGCAGGGTTGGGTTGAGTTAAAAACAAAATCAGCCATTGTAGGGCACCATATTAACAGGCTGAGAAAGAAAAACCATAGCAAACATCCCCCCGTCGATTCCTGTGGAAAACAGCACAGTGGGCAGAGAGGAACCACGAGAGAGCTCCGACGGGCAGGCCAATATTTTTCTAGGCTGCATATACAAGCTCCTTTAAAGTGTCCTTTCTTCTGCGATGACTGAGGACCTCGGACTGGCCCTTCCAGGACGGGGCTTCAGGGCAGGCGCTAAGTGACCAGTGGGGTGACCCAGGCGGAGGCTCTGGCGGCTCGGTGGGCGGCCCGGCGGGCTCTGCCAGTCGGGGGCAGGGCGTGGTGGGAGAGGGCG